GCCCTCAATTCTCTAGTATACCAATCTAATAACTATGAATCAAGTCCTATTTCTGTAGATTTTCGGTCGGATGATAGCAGACTTGTGGGCCTCTTCTGATGTTGTAGAGGACATACAAGAGAAATAAGTTACTGCTCGAATGACCAATAGGATGACTAAGGTTGAATCCAAGCATGAGGCCAAGGAAATAAGAGCCTCTTGGTGGGCATCAATGATGATTTGAGGGAGGTCAATCGTGTTCGTTGACAACGCAATTGGTTCTTTAGGTGAGGATTTTCTTTTCTCTATTTCTGTAACCACAGTGATGATAAAAAAAATTTAGACTTGTGAACTAAACATCAATATAAGGAGTTATTTGACTCATTGTAATTTTGATACATATTTCTTGGATGGAGCTTCTTTAAGTTGGCAAGAATCTAGTAATTGTTCTAAGGAATAGTCTCCAGAGGAAGGCTGAGTGCACTGTCGGCTGTGCCTCACTAATAGATTAAGTTCATTAATTTTTTTGATAGGTGTGAGGATAATAGACTTGCTTCTATTTCCCATACTAAGTTTTAAATAGATTTGGAGGTGGGAACTCCAAAGGAAGTACAACATAAAGAGGGGAAGGAGTAGGTCGCTTAGCTAATTAGTATACCCCCCTCTTTCATACCAAAAAAAAAAGGAAGGGTTTCCCAGCTAATTGAGTTCTCTCTTAGGGTCAAGGAAAAAAGATCTATAATTCTTGTGATAGTCAATTCACAACCATTGACTGGTCGATGAAATGGTGCAATTATTTTTTCATCTGTTGATGTCTATCATCTGGTTTTCAAGAGATTATCTAAGATGCTTAAGAAACTCGATTGAACAATAAAGCCAATTGAAACCAATTGAAGGTGTGGGAGACTTACCACCTCTAGACGATGGTGCTATATCGGGCTGAGATAAAATTAGTTGCCATTGCAGAAAGGGGCGAGACCTCAATTAGGCTTGTCAAGAAGTCTGAATGCAAGTCGTAGTGCCCGAAAAGAAATTGACAACAGTAGAGGAAGAGCTTTCCATTGTTTCAAAGCTTATGCAATCGCTATTCAAGAGAACCGGGTGTTGAAAGCAAAGATGGAGATGATGATGACTAAGGAGGAGTTCTTTCATTCACTTCCTTCCCAACCAGATGAGGAAAAAGATTCTAGGTGAGCAACTTTGAATTGACATCATCAAGCCAATTGATTGATTCATTTGGTCTGGCCTGGTCAACCTAAATTATGCTAACTTAGATGAATTTACTACTCTGCATACCCGTTCCAAGGGGTCTTTTAGAGACAACTTGGATGTTGAGGGCAAAGGAGGATCTTCTAGTCAGCTTACTGGCACAAAAAGATAGATTTTTTTCCTTTTCCTTGAATAAACTTTTTTATAACATGTAAATGAACTCTTTTGTATACACATAATATTTTTTATTTATTTTAGTTTGAAATGAATTAAATCATTTGGTAATTTTTCATACCTTTTTTTGTTTTAATTTTATTGTTACTTTTCATTAATTTCTTGGTGATGAGTATTTATGTTTTGGTGGATGACTCAAACCTTGTGAAAAATTGTTAATCATTTTTTTTTATTTTTTATGACCTGGCACAAGTCTTACACTACCTTTCTCATTTTGCTTTGATTTAATTTTTCTCCTTAGATAGCCTACACCATTCCCTAGAACTAAGGTGGATCTTGTTACCACCTTCACTGGGGTAACCACTGAAACTTGCTATTGGGGAGGAAACCTCTTTCAAAGCAATTTTAATGTTTGATATGAGTCAATTTTAAATGATTTTACCTACATGTTATCATTCTATTTTACTTTCTATTTGACCTCATTTATTTTGATTTTATTCTTGTGGAAGGTTCTTTGTGCTATTTTGCAGGTTATAGGTGTCAAGCACATAAAACAGAGCGAACACGCATGAAATTGTGTTATTTGGTGTATTCATGCCTTATCTGGGTGTGACCATGCTTGATCTGAGCATGACCATGCTAGAACTGTCGTGACCATGCTATTTTCGGGTGTGACCACTATGGTTTTAGGCATGGTCATGCAACCAAGCCGCCAGATCTCATTTTGGAAGGTACTTTCACATCAAATTTTTATGGATTTTTAAATGGGAAAGCTAGACATGAATAGAAGCACTCTTTTGGATGAGGAGATATCTGGCGGCGGCTTGAGCACCAAAGATGAGGTTTTTTGACAGTTTTCTCTAGGTTTCCTCTTCCTCTCTTAGCGTTGAGGTCTTAAGGGTTGTTTCTACCTTTTTTCTTTGCATTACTCTTATATCTTTTAAGAGGTTATTGTATGAGAGAGGAGTTGATAGCTATTGAAGAGGGAACAAATTATTTTTGTAAGTATTTTATTTTAAGTTTTTCTTGCATCAATTGTTTTAATAAGATGTTTTTCCGGGATTCTTTCTATAATGCATAGCTAAATTTCCTTTCACGCCTCTATGATTTATTGGTTGTTTTTAGTGGTTTTCTAGATCATTTCTTCTCCTATATCATTATCTTGAGATATTAAGGTTTTTCATTTTTTATGTTAACTATAGAATTGAACGTACTCCTGATTTGACAAATTCAAATTTAATATATTTTATGATCTATGGCTCCTACCCATTGCACGAAGGAACATAATGGCTAATTACAAAATCTGTGTAATAATAGCCATTCTTTTCCGGGTTTCACATCCTAGAAGGAGGATTATAAAAAATCTGCAGGATACCATGGGGATTAAGGAAGCCTTAACTTCACAGATTCTAGCCTTCTTTTGACCTAGATATAGGCATAAGGAGGCTTTCTATCCTTTTTTACAATGATCACGTTGCAGAAAGTTTAAGAAAATCTTAAATCACAAGGGCGCAAGCTTCACATAACTTGAAGAACAGTAAGTTTGGTATGCTACTATTTTCCATCTTTTCCAAACACATTATCTTTTTTTTTCATCTTCATGTAAGATTTTAGGAAACCATCTCTTGTTTGTGATCACACTAATCTAAGTTTAGAAGTTTAGTAAACTAGAGCTTCACCTTACAAAATAATTCTTAACACATTTCTAATGGGATTAATATGTGATACTTTTTAACTGTATTATTACTTAACACAAATAATTGCGATGTGTGGTTGACTTACTTTGTGGTGAGTTTCAACATGTCAATGTTAAGCTTCAAGACTAGATGTTTGATGCTTGGTGTTGTGGGTTTGTTTTGCTATTAGGGTGCCGATCAAACATTTATAGTGTCACTGTCGGTGGAATTTATTTTATGACATTGTCGTATGGCCTGCATCATACACTTCAAGGTCCAAATGACATGGTCAGGTTATGGCCTCGATCAGGTCTTGCCTTTCCCAGAGACTTAGGCGGATCTTGTCGCTGTCTTAGCGGAGGTAACTGTTGAGACTCGCAGTTGGAGTGATTTGTGCCTTACCTTTAATGAAGCTTATCGGTCTTGGGTAGGGAACCCCGTCCATAACTTTATTCGATTTAAGTGGAGACCAGAATTTTGTTGCGGGGAGCATTGTGGACTACTTTGCTGACATGAACTCTATGGAGTTGTCGCCGGTGTGGTTTCTTGAATTCAAGTTACCCAAGTGTCAGCTGGATCTGGGAAGACATTAGAGAAATTAGTTACATTAGAAATTTTTTTGCAGTAATACCCCCTTTATATGTGAAGTAGTGTCTCAACCACTTGGAATTTGATCAAATGATGCTCAAGTACCGTTGGACAACTAATTCTTATAGTTGGGAGATGTATATTTGTTTTGATGTACTCACCTTATATATAAATCCTTTAGGAAGATGAAAACAACGTTTTAGGCTCCAGATCTATTATTGTATGAACCCATAACCTGCTCCCTATTTTGTAGTCTTTTAGATGTGTTTCTACTCGATGTTGCATCCCTTCTCATAGGTAGTATGCTTAACACTCACCACAAATTTTAGGATATTGAATCCAAAATTTCCCTGTAAGGCTTGCACAAGGATCAGAGCGGTATTAACCTTGAGGGATTAGTAGAGTGAGGGAGAAATAAATAAAAGAACAGACATAAACTTGCCCCGTAGTAGCAAATTGGGGTATTCTCAAGTTCTGTGACCCATTTAATCAATTGTAACTAGGGTATTACAAGAGAAAATAAAATACAAATCTTTTTAAAGATTATGAGCCTAGAGAGAATAGCCTAAAATGCCCTTAATACTACTACAAACCCCCTATTTCTAGAAGATAGAGAATCATAAGGTGAAAAATTACATATCCACCCATGCTTTAAAGGGCATGACAAAACAACACTCTCTTATATTGCCTTTTCATATTCATAACTGATTTTTGCTTTTTTTCATTGTACTTGGATATTCTAGTCGGTAGGTCCTTGAGTCGGTTGACGAAGTAGATGTTAGTCGGCTATTTTGCTTAGATGCTGGTCAACCTTCGCTCTAGGAAGCCAATCGGGTTTGAGATAGACAACCAATCAGCCCAAAGGTGGTCAATCACCTCGCTTGTTCCTTGATTATTTCTGGAGATACTTGAAGATTTTTAGGGGAATTGTTAAGAGAGTTTCATGTTTGTATAAGATTGCTAGGGGTACTTTGACCTTTGTTGACATGAATGCCTATTTCTTGTTAGTCAGTCGCCAACTTTCAATTAGCTGACTATTGTTCAACATAAGGTTCTTCAATTAGGTTTATGAGTTCTTATAGTTTTTCGGTTGAGGAATGTTCCTCAACTTGTCCTTTCTAATCTAGACCACTAGATTATCTGGAGATTCGTGCATCTATTTTTGGGTGCAATATCATAGAAAATATTATTTTTATTTATTTTATAATATAAGATATAATTTTTCATGTATCATTTTAAGATATTAAAATATTATATATATAATTATAAAATGCTGATATTAGATATGTAAATACAATTGAATTATGTGATAAGAAGGTAGTATCCTAAACATTTTAATCGTGTCACGTGACTCACGTCTGGTGCTCCATCTCCTTCTGGTGTTCGCTCCTAGCTCCCAGAACGTTCCCTGACACGTGGACTCCGTATCTTTCTCCTTCCCAACGCCACTCACAGAATAAAAACTCGAGCGCTTCGTCCTTCAAGTAATGGCTTTCTGATTTCGTCCCGTCCCGCTTCGCAGTGCTCTTTTTCTTGAGGAGCGACGGTAAGGTAATCGCTTCTCTTCCGACAATAATCAGCCC